CATACTTGGTGGCATCATTCAGACACTGACTCATACACAGAAATACGCAAAACTAAAACTAGGTAATGTCAAAAGAGAGTCAGCGGCCTGACACCCCTCCCAGAACCCGGACACACGCTGTCTGTGTGCTCCTTGCCTGGTGTCCACTCCAGGCCTGTGGGCTGGGTCCAGGAGAAGCATGGCTGCAGAGCCCCCCAGACCTGGGTCTGGGCCACCCTGGAGAGGCAGACACCCACAAGAGGCTTCCAGGGACTCCAGAAGGTGGAGGGCCTCCCTGAGGCCTCTGGGGCTGCTGTACGTAAAAAGGAAAAGAACAGCAAAGTCAAGACGACATTCAGATAAACAAGCTGTCCCAACATGAGAGTAAAGTAGTAATGTGCAGGGTTCCCTCAAAGGAAAGGCTTCTCAGGGAAATAAACAGATGTGTGTACTGACAAGTCGGAACAGCTCAGAGCTGAGCCTCCAGCTGGATTTTCAAGGCAGTTCATCACACAGGAGTGACAGCCTTTCTCCTGTGAGCAGTTGGTGGATTCAAGCTGCATGCCTTTGGGTTGGCAGTGCAATTCCTTACCATTATGCCACAAAAGCCCCTCAGAAAGGTGTAGGAAACGCTCAAACAATACAAGAAAATAATGCACAGAAAAGCAGATGGTACAAAGAAATGAGGACATAGCCCATCAATATGCAGTCTACATGGGACACCCTGCACATGAGGACAAAGATCAGAAAAGGACAAAAGAGGGCAAGCCAATGGTGATCAAAGAGGAGTGTGGTAGCACTGGCTTCAGAAAAAAAACAAGATTGTAAAAAGCCAGTTAAGACAAAACAACTATGAGATAACCTCTCACCCCAGTAAGAACAGCAAAATTTAACAGAATAGCAAACATCAAATGCTGGCAAGGTTGTGGAGAAACGAACCTTTATTCACTGTTGGTGGGAATATAAAATGGTACAACCACTATGGAAGGCAATATGGCGCTTTCTTAAAAAGTTGCAAATAGAGATACCATTTGACCCATAATACCCTAAAGAAACCAGAACTGCCACCCAAGCAGATATATGCTTGCCCGTGTTTATTGAGGCTTTATTCATAATAGCAAAGAGCTGGAAACAACCCAAGTGCCCATCAACAAACGAATAGAGAAGCTTTGATATATTCACACAATGGAATACTATGCTGCATTGAAAAACAGGGAATTCATAAAATATTATACAAAATGGGTGACCCTGGAGGACATTATGAGTGAAATATCTCAGTCAGAAAAGGACAAATACTGCATAGTGCCACTGCTGTAAAATGGGATTGACATCGGGGTTGGGGGGAGACTGAGAAAGATGGGATAAATAATGTATACTGCATTGAAACAGATGGAGAAAACTGTTTAAAAGGGATATGTGATTAGATATTATTGTCATGACCGGAGTCCAGAATGAAGGCTGCATAGTGGAGTGGACCTGGGGGGAGGGATTGTAAAACAATGAGAGAATTTTACTTTTCAAAGAGAAGAGTGTACTGGGGGAAAGGGGTGGGCAGGGAGAAAAGTGCAACAATGAATGAATGGAAACCCTAAGTCTCTGTAAACGTTCATTAAAATTCATTTTTTAAAAAAAGCCAGCTAAAAGCTATGGAAGGGGGTGATATGACGGACGTGTCAAGTGAACAAGGCAGCTATCCTCTGACAACTATCCACACACCCAGTGACCGAGCCCGAGACATGTAATTACAGCTGAACAATGCTGAGCAAGCAGCACAACTCCGCAGACAGAGCTCTGACCAAACGGCCCGAAGAATAGATACGAGGGCTCTGAGAGACTCCTTTTGCTGAAGGGCAAAGACACAAGAGCCAAATGGTGCAGTTAACCACCTAGGTCCTGCGGACACAGGACCCCCACCCAGGACGGCACAAGCCACGTTCTCCAGGAACACTCCAGAAGGGGCCACATAACTAGCACAAGGAATCTCCTCAAGCATAGTGCTATAATGTCAGAGATCAATAACAGGAAGTTACTGGGGGAAGTATAACTATACTAAATAACATCCTGGGTAATAGAAGACATTAGAAGCTGAAAATGTCTTTAAACAAATGAGAATGAAAACACAACATGCCAAGAGTCTTTGGGATGCATCAAAAACACAGCTCAGAATCCATAGCAATAAACATGCATGTCACAAAGAATGAGCAAAGGCAACTGGCTGACTCAGCCTCGCCGGCAGGCACAAGAGCAGGAGGCAGTGCCACCACTCCCAGAAGCAAGCAAGGAAGAGAGATTATAGAGAAGAAAGGAAACAGAAAAAAGGCAGCAAGACCAGAAGGTGGCTCTCAAACTATTCATGAAATCAAGCTCCTGGCCCACCTAACAGTGAAAGGAGATGCAAATATTTACATGAATAAGCACTCAATTGGGTGATGGCACAGCACAACTGCAGGAAAGGGACTGAACATGAGGGGACCTCAGGGTGGATGGCCAGGACAGGGCGGTGTCACGGTACGTGGACAAGCCACCAGAAGCTGCAGCTGACCCATGGCACCTACCAACCTGAAGGGCGAGTGTTCACACTGCACCCGCTCAGCACTGATAACCCAGGGAGCACAGCATGGTTTAAAGTTGAGAGGGGATTGCACCAGGGTTGTATTCTCTCTCCATACTTGTTCAACAGTCTGTATGCTGAGCGAATTATCTGAGAAGCTGGACTCTTGAGGATTGTGGCATCAAGATTGGAGGGAGACTCATCAATAACCTGTTACGCACATAACAACCTTGCTTGTTGAAAATGAGGGCCTGAAGCACTTGCTGCAGAAGATCAATAAATGCAGCCTTCAGTATGGATTGCATCTCAGTGTCAAGAAGACAAAGATTCTTACCACTGGATGGATAGGAGATTGAAACTGTCAACAGCTTCATCTTGCTTGGATCCACTGCTGGTACCAGCAGTAGGGAGAAAAGGAGACACAGTGCACTGGGAAAGTCTGCAGTGAAGGAACTCTCCAAATTACTGAGGTGTAGTGAGGTCAGGTTGCAGACTAAGGTGCACTAAGGTGCATCTGATTCAGGCCATGGTCTTTCTGATCACTTGCTATGCATCTGAGGCCTGGACAATGAATAAGGATGACAAAAAAAGCCTTTGAACTGTGGTGCTGGAGAAGAGCACCGAACGTCCCATGGACAGGCAGGAGAACAGAGGGGTATGTCTTAGAGATGCTCAGAAATGATAACTGAGCAAATCATGCAGATCACTGTCCTCAGAAACACTGCCCCCAGCTCCTGACATGGTCTCGAGTCCAAGTGCAAGGACAGCTACCAAACCACTTCTGAAAACGAAAACTGAGCCACCAGGGACACAGGACTCAACCGTGGTTTTCTCTGGAGAAGGAACAGAAGGGAAATTTGTTCCCCACAAAGGATGTTTTGTTTCTGGTCATAACAAGTTTTTGGATTCATGTGGGGAACTAAATTTTGGTAAAATCCAAGTTCTAGAAGTGCTGCCAAAAAGCGGATGCCTCTGCAGGAGAGAGAAAGTGGAGTGGTCACCAGATAGCAGTCTGAGCCCAGCCCTCAGCCACCAGGGTGCCCAGAAGGCCATGTACCCTGATGCCACAGGTGGCAGTGAGCCCAGGTTTGGAGAGTCTCTCAGAATGGCACTTTCCAGCCATCCTGGCATCAGTGGCCTAAGGGACAGGGCCACGGAGGATGAACAGGCCATGGAGAAAGGGACAAGCCTAGGCTAACTGCCAAGAGAAGCAGAATCGGGACGCAGACTTCTCACACATGTGCCCCAGGACAGCAATGCCACGTCCAGTGGGCACTGGTGGGCAAACTGTTAGTGCTGCTTGCACAGCCACCTGTGGGCCCTTGTGGACGCCCTGCAAGGAGGACTTTCATGTCTGCTGGCCTGGCTGTTAAGGCTGGCCTATAAGCACCAGCCCCCTGGGTTGAGAACATGTCCAGTGAACCTGTGGGAAGTGGAGACGGCAGTGACAGGGCCTCAATCCGTCTGTCTTGCTTTCTCAGGCTCAGCTGTGTGAGAGCACACATCCCATGTACCATGTACTCCTCCATGCAGCACACAGCACTCAGTGAAGTGTCATTTCCCCCCACAGCTGATGCACAGTCCCCCCTGGGGAGGTGGGCACCCCTGATGCGTAGTCCTGGCCACAGAACTCCTGACCATTCAACTCCCAGGTTCCTGCAAGGTGCTCCTGAAGTCACCATTGAGCCAAGTTCAGCAGGGTGAATGTAACGTCCCCAACACACAACTACCTTCACAGGGAAATACGACAAAATTAAATCACTTTTATTTAAGGGAAACAAAAGGAGTGTGCAAAGTTAAATCCCATGATTAAATACACATAAAAGAACATGCATACGTGACATCAAATCCACAAAGTTAGCTGATTACAGGACAGGAAGAAGTGACAGAGGGGGAAGGTCCTGCGGTGCAGATTTTAAACACCTGCAGCCTCAAGGACCAGGACCAGCGACAGCCAAGTTTCTCATCACCAAAGGCTGAAAGGACGTTCCTTCCCAAACCCGAGGGGTCGCAGCTTTTCTGCCGGGTGGGGCCAAAGTGTGCTGGGTGGCTTGGTGCCTCTGCACCATTGCCAGAGACCACCAGCCCAGAGACATGGGACAGACACGCAGAGACCATAGAACTCAGAGTCTGGACTCCTGGCGGCCTGGAGGCAGCCCTGCGGGTCCGGAGGCCACCGCTGGTGTGACCTGGAAATGGCGCAGGGCAGGTACCTTCATCTGTCCCTGTCCCCACCTCAGCCCACACTAATGGGGCTGCTGTCGAGAGCGAAGGACGTGGTGAACCACAGAGCTGGCTTCACAGGTGACAGGTGGCAGGCACACGCTGGTCACTGCTGTGGGTATTAGGTCCCTTAATACTGGAAACGTGACATTGTCCTCAGGAAGCACGTCACCACGTATGGCTTCAAGGCCGACCCTGGGGCTGAAGGCAGCCTGGGCACCCGTGGGCATCAGCAGAGTGTCCAGGCCTGGCTCACAGCTTGTCGTCGGTCATCTCCAGGAACTGTGCATACACGTCCCGGACGCACTCCCCCTTGGGGTTGAAGAGGAATCTATAGTAGCTGCCGTCTGCGCAGATGGCTGAAAGAGAGGAGACCCTGACCGGCTGTGCAGGGGCTGGCCTGCCCAGTTTCCTCAGACCAGCTTGGAGGAGCCAGGGCCCCACGCGTGCCCATGTCCAAGCAGAGGTGTGTAGGCAAGAGTGTAAGGTGGTGTGTGTTGGAGGAAGACATGCAGGCGTGGGTGTGGGAAGCCGTGAAGGTGCAGGGGCATGCTTGGGGGAGGGGGTCCCATGCACTCCAGGAGAAAGGAAACAATTCACTGCTCATTGGGACCCACTGCGAGGAAGCCTGGAGAATGGTGCTCACCAATGACAGCATTGGGCTCTGTCCCAAAGGCACAGACACATGGGGAGCCCGAGGGAACCTGGAACTTGGAGAAACTCCACTTGGAACTGAAGTATTTTGGGAGGAAACTGGCAGACGCTAAGCTGTGAGGATCAGCAAGAAAAAAAAGCAATCATGTAACAAACCCTCCTAACCCCACACACAGCAAGCAGCTCACCCCTGAGCGCCTGTACCACACACAGCCTGGGGGTGGCAAAGGGGGCCTCTTAACTTATTTCTCTAGGGAGCTCTGGTGGCCTAGTGATAAGAAGCTGCACCTTCAACCCAAAGGCAGGAGAGTCAGATCCACCAGCTGCTCTGTGGGAGAGGGATGGGCAATTTCCTCTTGCGATTTGTTGTTATGTGCCGTCGACTTGCCTGTGACTCACAGTGACCCTATGCACAACAGCCCTAAACCCTGCTCTATCCTGTGCCAGTCTCACTGTCTCCAACACACCTACCCCCATTACCCCAGACACTAAATCAATCCATCCATCTTATCAAGGGTCTCCCTCTTCTGCACTGTCCCTTCACCCTCCCAAGCATGATGTCCCTCTCCAAGAACTGGTCCCTCCTTGCAACATGTCCAAAGTAAGTCAGATGAAGCTTTAGAATCCTTGCTTCCAAGGAGCAGCTTGGTTTCACCCTCTCCAGGACAAACCTGTTTCTTTTCCTAGCAGTCCATGGTATATTCAATACTGTTCTTCAGCACCACAGCTCAAAGGCGTCAATTCTTCTATCACCCCTAGTCAGTGTCCAGCTTTCTAATGCAGCATTTACTGCCTCTGAAAACCCACAGGAGGGTCAGCTGTGGGTCAGTTCCAACTTGATGACACACACCACCTCTCTCGAGTAGAACAGTCCTCACAGGCTTCTGTGGCGCGTGAGAAGCTGCCTGTCCATCTCCAAACCCTTACAGGCTCCCATGGACAGTGGAGGCAGGCTAGCCTGGACTGAAGGTAACGATGTCCACTCTCAAGGACCAAGGTCCCTGGAGTCCGACTCCCCAGCCCAGCACCACTCACACACACCTGGACTGTTTGTTCCGTTTGGGATCTTCGGCAGCAAAAATGTGCACCGTGCCGTGGTCACTGGAGACACAGATGAGGGATGCGTCCTGGTTGAAGTTGATGCTGTGGAGAGTGGAGAAGGATGCAGAGGTACCACCGCGCTCCACCACCCACGACCTCTACCACTTGTCACCAACGAAGGAGGTGGGAGCCGCTCTGGAGCCCCACATGGGGGCCCCCATCTGAAGCCAACACCTGCACCTCCACCGGCTTTGCCCTTGGGGCACTCCTCAGTCTGTCAGCCTGATCCCAGTTTGCCCTCAGCTCAGAGGAGACATAGCCAGGGAGAGGAACCAGGGGAGCAAGAGCTGGCTAACACAGCTTGGATGCCCAGCTCCCTGCTGCACAAAGGTTTTTAATTCCTCAAAAGAAACACTGACAGGCCAGCCTGCTGAGCTGCACCTCCCCTCCTCTCTCCTGGCCATTCCTGGCCCTCCTAACCTCACCCTACAGGACTCGTGCACGGACAGCACTTATCACTTCCCACTTTCCCCCACGGCACTCCCCAGTTTCCCCCCTACCACCCCAAAGCTCCCATCAGGTGCCCCTCAAGTCCACTCCCCAGTCCATTCTCACTAGCTCCCCCACACCCCTCAGACCTCCCCAGTCCCCCTGGGCCTCCTCCCTACCCCAGCCCTTCACCAGCAGATGCTGGAAGGCCCTCTCCAGTCCCCTGCACCTCCTCCCCTACCCCTCACCAGTAGATGCTGGCCGTCTGGGAGCCCCTCCGTAGCTCCTGAATGAGGTGCCCTGATGAGGTATCAAATATTCTGATGAGGGTCCCCTTTGGAAAACAGTGAAGGCTCTCATTACCGAAGGTCAGGACCTCGTCCATACAGCCTCCCCACGTCCCCGACCCAGGTGCCCAGCAGGAGCCTGTCACAGTCCCAGTGCTTCAGTCAGTGCTGTCATGCACAAGGCCGAGGTGGCCAGCCCCCACAACGCTGGTCTTCCTCCAGGATCTGGGATCCCAGGGATGGCTCTGATTTGCTTTTAGCCACCCGTGGCCACAAGGACAGGTCCCTTGGAGGCGTCTTGTTGGTGTCCAGTCACAATTCTGCAGCACGCTGTGTGATGGTTCAGAAGGAGTCGCCACGGTCCTGAAGCTGAAATGGATGGTGAGTCCAGTCCCCACAGCCTCGCTCACCTTCTCAGATGCAGTCGCAATCCGAGTGCCTTGCAGGTTGAGGGCCACACAACTGAGAACGCCTTCGTGTGCAGGGATGTCCACAGGGGGCTTCTCAGTGCTGGCCAGGTCCACCAGCTGCACATGGCCGGTGTGTGTGCCCGGGAAGGCCAGGAGGGAGTTGTTGCTGTTGGGACACAGGACACACAGACCTGTAGAGAGAAGACAGCGCCTGTGGCTCAGGCTACACAGGCCATGTGTGCGCACTGTGTCTCCCATGTGCACAGGTGTGCAGTGTGTGTGTGTGTGCGCACGTGTGCCTGCTCTATGCCTATGTGTGTGCCTGTCCTGTGTGCACGTGTGCACATTCATGTCTGCCCTGTGTCTGTGTTGTATGTCTGTCGTATGCATGCGTCTCTGTCCAGCACACCTTTTGAGGAGCGTGTCTGCCCTCCAAGGGAGAGGACCTGCACTGTGAGGCAGGGATAGCTGCATGGAGCCCATGCAAGACTCTGTCCATGCTCCCTAAGCTGCTGACCCAGCCACTGCTCCAGGGACAGTGTTGAGCACAGGACAAGCATCTCACACAGCTTCCTCAGGGCTATGCACAAAATCCATCCCAGATTCTCCACTCCTGTCCATGCCTCTGCCCACTCCAATCGCGCAGCTCCACGCTGCCGGGGCCCAGCCTGCTAAACCCAACTGGCTCATCTTTAAGCTTGTCTGTGACTTTGACAATCAGCTGCCAACCTCAATAAATGCTCCATTTAAATTCCAGTGGAGACAGCACACCGGCTGGGACATGTTGACCACGGAACAGGACTTTTCAACCCATCAGCTCTAGGAATGGGTACAAACAGCAATGGTGCAGAGATGAGCCCATGTGGCTGCTGGACATCTCAGCCATGGCTGGACCTGGGACCCATCAGCCAGGGAGCAGAGGTGATTGTGTCCTGAGGACAGCCCAGGGAACGAGTCCAGGCCCACCAAGTCAAGCCACCACTCAGGCTGCTGCCTCTGCTGCCAGGCTCTCACATGCCCTGGAGCCACCCTCACTGGTGTAGACACTGGAGGAGAGAGGGTACAGATGGGAACAGCTCATGGGGACATGCAGCTCCACAGACCATGTGGGCGCTTCCATGCACTTACAGTGAATGCTGTCAAGAGCCAGCAGCTCAGTGAGCAGGAAGCAGGCACTGTCTGGACAAGTGGACCACTGGCCAGAGGAACAGGCTGACACGCACAGGGAGATGCTAACACACACGGGAGGTGCAGGCTGACAGACACGCAGGAGGAGGCACCAGGCCAGGGATATAAACCCGAGAGTCAAGAGCCAGGGCTGGAGGGGGAGCCCCAGGAGAGGCACCGAGGCCTGTCTACATCTACAGTACTGGGCTCACAGCTGCGGACAAGGCCCAAGATTCACCAGTTATCACCTCAACTGAGTCAGCATCACCCCCAGGTACTGAGTTGTGGGTGGAGGAGCAGCCAGTCACAGGCTCAAGGGGACACACCGCAACCATCCTCCTGGCCCAGCACTGGCCAAGACAGGCACTGAAGATAGTCCAGTGTTGCAGCATCAGCCTATCCTCAACTGCTCACCTTTCGGGTTGTAGCAGGTCTCAAAGACGTGCAGCTGGTGGGGATTGTGCGTGAACGTGAACACCTTGATCATGGAGTCCAGAACCACCACAATTCTAAAAGAAAACACCTTGTGACTGTACATCATCGAGAACATTTGGAGCAAGGTCCAGCTTTGCTCCGCACCCCTGCTGCTGGGGGCCCCTTGTCCATCCTGCTGATGGAGCTCTTCTCCCTGGGGTGGGGGTCTATTCACCTGACCCCCAACACCACCCTCCAACATTCCTCTGAGCAAGAACACCACGTGCTCCTGCACGTCCTGCTCTGCGTCTGCCTCACTCACATCCACCACTCTCCGATGGAGATGATGGGTGACCATCCATCCCGTTACCATGGACACTGTGGGAAGTGACCCTCAGGTGAGAGAGATTGTCCTTTAAGTTCTCTGACAAAGAAAACTCAGAGTCTAACAGGTAAGTCACATCCATGAAAACAACTAGGCCTAACTGCTGCGCTCAGTGCTGTCCATTCCTGAGATGGCATCAGAATGGCTGCAGGCAAGATGGACATCAAGTTGGGCCACGCATACAGACCAGTGGAGAGGGAACATCAAGGTCCATGTGCAAACACCCGCTGACGAGGGGGCCCTGAGGCACACACACTCATTAACTGTGGACACAGAGGTCCATGTGCACATGTCCACTGACCAGTGCAGGGAGGAGGCTAAGGCTCCAGCCACCTTGTGCTCTGGGACCACTGTTTTCTGCATCAGGCCTGAAGCCACTGACGCCCACCCTCCCAACAATCCGAGCCCTGAGTGTGGAAGCAACAGGTGTTGGTGTTCTGTGACTGCTGGCCCTCATGGAGGGGAGCTCAACTGGACAAACCCACCTGTCGCGCCGTAACTTGACCGCTTTGACCTCGGTGGAGAATTCTATCTCAATGACAGTCTTCTTCTTCAGGTCATCCCAGATCATCACTGCAGCAGACAGGAAGCATAAGAGCACAGGCCGCCGCCGGGGACAGATCAGCATGGCCAGCAGGCAGCCACCCTCCACCTGCACTCTCCCAGCTCTCCGGCCGGCACACCCCAACACCAGCACCTGTGCAGACTCCAGCCCCAATCTCTGCTCAGCTTGACCTCCCCTTCTCCCCACTGCAGCCTTACAGTACTTGGCCTTCTTCCGCCAGGAGCCCCTCACACACAACCAAAGACCTGACCCCAGAACTGGGCCCTCAAACCAGAATCAGGTTCTGGCCCCAACCCAAAGCTGGGCAAGCTTGCTGGTCTATGGGTTTCCAACTTAACTGTGTGGGTCCACAGCTTTAAATAGTAAAGAAAGAAAAAAACCCAAACACCCCAAAACTAGAATCTTTAAAACTTCTAGTGGTTGGCTTTAAAGTGAACTCGGAACCCTAGTGCGAATGATGGGAGTCGAGAGAGCCGGCGGGACAGAGTGAGGCCACCAGGCCTGCCCTGTAACCACAAACCCTACCCCAAGAAGCAGCACGAATGCAGGACCCTCTGGTCAGGCAGTGTGACCAGGACAGGGCCAGGCTACTGCCGAGAGGTGTACCATGACATGCACAGGCCTTTACCTTTATTGGGAGGGTACTTTGGCTTTTTGCCACCACCGACTAATGCTAAGTAGTTGCAGCGAAATAACATTTCAACGTGGCCAACTCCTCCTTCCAGAAATTCTGAAACAACAGTCATGAGATTAGTTTATGGACTACTCAGCCCCTGTCCCACTGCACCAGATGGTTCGGGGCTGCAAGGACAGGGGACCAGATGGGTCGGGGCCTGCAAAGACAGGGGACCAGACAGGACGGGCCTGCAAGGACGGGCGACCAGATGGGACAGGGCATCAGACACGAAGGGGCCTGTGAGGCTGGGGCAGGGGACCAGATGGGACAAAGACAGAGGGACCAGACAGGACGAGGCCTGTGAGAATAGGAACAGTTCTTCAGACCTATTGGCAAACGTGACCCCAAAGAATATGGGAGCAAACTCAGAGAAAAACTCAACCTCGGGAGAATGAAACCAACTCCCATCAAATGCTATCTCTAAGGATATGGGTGCAGACAGTTCATCAAATACACTTTCAGAGGATGTGGGAGCAGAATTTCATCAAATGCCTCCTTTGGGGTTAAGGCCTGGCCTCCCTACTGGCTCTGGGAGAACATTCTGGAAGCCTCCAAGTGCTGCTCTGTCCTCCCACACCTCAGCCTGTGGCCCTGGAGGGGATTCCTATGACCCGGCTGGTCATGCCTGACTGCCGTGTGGAATTCCCAATACCAGTTCATTTGTTTAGATGATGAAGCCTAGACGGACCTCTTCTGTCCCTTGATCCTCACTTGCAGCTTCCCTGAGGATACACTTCCTGCCAGCCACAGGCTCTGGGGGAGGGGGAGAGCTCAGGACCTGGCACAACACCGCATCCTCAAGAGCACTTCCTAGAGAGCCCTCCTGGAGGGGAGCCCACCCAGAGGGGAACCATGCCTGGCCCTAGCATGAGGGGACTCTGCATTGGGGCCACACCAAATCTGAGCTGATGGCTGCCCTGGTGCTTCCCTGTCCTGACTCAGGAATGCAAGCCGTGAAGACAAAAAGGAACACGGTCACACCTTGACCTGCTCAGCCTCCAGGCTTGAGAAGTGCCTGACCAGCAGCAGCAAGACCCGCGCACAAACGGGGCTGGGCCATGTTCCCCACAGCAAGGCCTGCAAGGACACACTAGGGCAGCTGGCTGAGGTGAACTTAGGGAAGGTGACCAGGTGCTCATACACGACCCCCACCTCTATGTACTCACACACGACCCTCTCCCCACATTCTCACATGACCCCTGCCACCACGCACTTGCCAACAAACCCCAATGCTCACACATGGCCCCACACACATGAAACCCCAAGGTGCTCACACACGACCCCCCCTCACATGCTCACACACCACCCCACACACATGAACCCCCAACGTCCACACACGCCCCTCCTGGCCGAGTCGTGGCCCTCCTCCTCTCCTTCACTGTCCGCGTGGACCCGTGTCCCATTCTCACAGCCGAGGCAGTCTCGGGCTCTTAGCATGGTCACCCTAGAGGCCCAGCCCCACCGCCAAGCAGACAGGCGGGGGGCAGGGTCGCAGCTCCACATGGGAGCACCACTGGCCACACGGGCTTCCCAGAAGTGATGCGGGTCAGAGTTGACCCCACCTGGGCTGCCACCTCACCTCGCCATGCACACGTCACTTATATGCCACAAAATGATCTGAAAATACAGAGTTCCCTGAGGGGGTTCTGCTGCCAAAAAAGCTGTGCCAATCCCGCTGCTCTGGGGTGAGCACAAGACCTCACATTACAGCCTAGCCAAGCTGCAGCAGAACCCCGCTATGTGCAGGGCCAGACATGGGCAGCCAGGCACCCCAGCGCTGCACCGTCACCGGCCTGCAGACAGGAGGAAACACACGTAAGAAAAACCCAAGGTGTCGCCACCCAGCAGGTAGGAGAGACCAGTTCTGGGTGGACCTCTGGTCTGACCCTGAAGGCCCCCTGCCAGGCTTGACTGGGCACACCGTCCTCACCTTGCTTCTCCTTCTCCTTCAGGGGATCTGTGTTATAGACACGGAAGCCATTCTCCATGCCACACGCGAAGCATCCTACGGAGGGACAGAGAGTCAGTCCTCTGCGCCGGGCCTGCACATCTGCCTATGCAGGTGCCCTATAAGCCAGCTCCCCGGCCCCGAGCCTTTCCATGCCATCGGACTGCCTCTCCCACCCCTCCGGCAGGCTTCTGCAGGACACGCAGTGACGGGGACACCCCTGCCACTGCCACCCTGCCCTGAACCGCTTCCCTGTGCCAGAGCCCTTCCTGTGTGCCATGGGCACATCCTGCACAAAGCAGCCGCTGTTAGGTGCGGCTTAGGTGAGTAGGACGCGGAGCAACCCGAGGACTAAGGGATCAGCACGCTGGGCCGTCCTCACACTTCCGACACACTTGAGCCCACTGCAGGAGTCGCTGTGCCAGTCCATCTGCTCGAGGGTCTTCCTCCTTCACTGACCCTCCACCTTTCCAAGCATGATATCCCTCTCCAGGTAACAGCCTCTCCTAGCAACATACTTGACATATGTGGGATAAAACTTCCACATCTTTGCTCTAAAGAGCACTCTGGCTGCACCGTCTCTAGGATGCATCTGTTTCTTCTCTTGGCTGTCCACGGGATGTTCGGAGCTCTTCCCCAACAACACAGCTCAAACGCATCAATTCTTTCTCTGTATGCAGCATCCTCATGGGCCCCAAGGTCTCAGCTCCGGAGGCCACAGCCACGGTCCTCACAGTCCACCGCTGGCCCTCATCTGTCTTTCTGACTCTAGAGACATCCCTCAGCTGCCCTGCCCATTGGGAAAAGCCCCAGAAGGCCCACGGCGGAGCAAGATCCAGCATGCCTCACAGAGCCAGAGCCCAGAGGGTGGCCAGCTCTTGAGCCCTGGAACGTGCTCATTTGGGCTGGAGGCACTTCTTCTCCCAAAGGAACCACCTCCGTCCTGACCAGAGACGGGGGACAATCCACACGAACGGAGCCCCTTCCCTCCTGTCTCTAGCCCTCCATCCTCTCCAGCCCTGGGCCTGCACCATCTCCTCTGCTTCATCAACACGTGTCCCTGGCAAAAGATTCATCACACACTAACAACACAGACAAATCCATGAAGGGAAGCACATAGCCCAGAAGAAAACAGAGCAAGAGACGTGGACCCTTTACAGACGTGCATATCAAATGGCCAGCAAGTGCTCGAAGCAGTGCTCAGCTCTAGCACCACAGCAAACACCAGGTCCACAACACAGCCAGGACACCACAACACTCTGCTGAGGTGCCACCTGCTACAGCTGTTGACCCAGCTCTGAGGAGCATGTCTGAAGAGACATGTGCCAAGGTCTCTGCAGGACACTGTTCCAACAGCCGGTCAGAAACGTAGCCCCAAGGGCCACCATCAGCACAGTAGTGTGTAAAGTGAGTCACCCAGAGGATCCTTGCTGTCAGGACACCCAGCACCACCCAGAATTACCACGGGGCTGCTGAGTGAGCCAGCAACACAGGATTCCTGTCAGAGTGTGGGGTAGACGCTGCTCTGCTCCTCAGGCGGCTATGGGTCGAGTCGAGCCCCGGAAGGCTATCTGTGCTGTGAGAGAGCACTGTGTCCACATGCCTGTGTCCTATGTTCACACAAGCTCAAACGTGAAGCCAGAAGCCCCACTCAGGAAGTGGAGCAGAACCTGCTATCAGCTTGTGACTGCGACTGTGTCCCCGACCCCTGAGACACCCCACCTCCTACTGGGTCATGTCACTGCACGGCTTGCTCTAGGCTGGACAGGCAAACACACTGAAGGAGTACTCCCTATGGACAGAGGCAGGCAGGCAGATGGTCAGGAAGATGACCTATCAACCTGAAGGGGCACACCCCTGTCCACAACTGACAGTCCTTAAGACCACAGTGCAGATCTGCTTGAGGGGAGGGGAGACAGGTTTGAGTGTCAGAAACTGTCTCAAAAATATGCATCTATAAAAACCCCAGTGGTCTGATAAACCATATTAGTCAAAGGATTAGAGATGGAATGGATACCCTTGACCCCACCACAGCTCTGATCCATATAAGGGGAGATTCCCCAAGGTGTGGCCTGGAGTAGCCTTTATCTCATGAGAGAAACAGGGAAAAGTCAAGTAGAGAAGTGAAGCATCACCCTCCACAGAGTGGACGAAGGGAACTCCAGCACCACCAAGAGCAGAGAGGGGGACCCCAGCACCACCGAAAGCACAGGGGGGCCCCGGCACCATCAAGAGTAGAGAGGGGGACCCCAGCACCACTGAGAGCAGAGAGGGGGATCCCAACACCACCAAAAGTAGAGAAGGGGGACCTGGCACCACCAAGAGCAGAGAAAGGGAACCTCAGCACCACCAAAAGCAGAAAAGGGGGACCCCAGCACCACTGAGAGCAGCGAGGGGGACCCCAACACCACCAAAAGTAGAGAAAGGGGACCCCGGCACCACCGAGAGCAGAGAGGGGGACCCCAGCACCACCGAGAGCAGAGATGTGGGATCCCAACACCACCAAGAGCAGAGAAGGGGGATCCCAACACCACCAAAAGTAGAGAAGGGGGACCCTGGCAGCACTGAAAGCAGAAAGGGGGACCCCAGCGCCACTGAGAGTAGAGATGGGGGATCCCAGCACCACTGAGAGCAGAGATGTGGGACCTCAGCACCCCCGAGAGCAGAGATGGGGGACCCTATCACCGCTGAGAGCAGAGAAGGGGAAACCCAAAACAATGAAAGCAGAGAAGAAGGACCCCAGCACGGCTGAGACTGGAGAAGGGAACCCCAGCACTGCCAAAGGGCAGAGGAGTAGAAGTGCAGCACAGAAAGGCAGATTGTCTCTTCTGTGCCAGGTCCCTGCCCTGGGAAGTTCTTAGACACAGCGACAACCAGGTCAGATGTGAAAGGAAAAGAGGACCTTCCACCAGAGAGAAGAGCCGTCTCCTACAGCTAACATCCTGAGTGTGGACTTCTTGTCTCCTGAACACACGTATGCCTGGTGAAACGCAGGTGTCACGGCAGCTCTAAACCTGCAGCCAACAGCGGAGCGCCCAGGGATTCCGGTCTAAGTTAAACCTGGGTAAACTGCAAATCAAAGCTCTCACATCCCTACTCTGGCTCGTTTCTAACACTTTCTTACAGAAACGTGTGGTCTGAGGTCAATCTCGTGATCTAAAACTCCAGCCAGTGGCTAAAGCTGAATTCACAAGGAAGATTGCTCCACAGGTAAGTCACGATCTCAGCACAGGGGCACCGCAGAGGGTCAGAGCTAACCCGAAGGGCTGGCTTCTTCTTGGCGTCCTGATCTCACACAAGACCGCAGAAGACAGGCTCCCCGGAGGCAGGCGCGCACGCTGGGTCATTTTCTGCCCTACCACTGACGAGGTGAAGACCTGTGAGCAGAGCTGGCGGATGCCCAGAACTACCTACAGGTCGGCTGCAAACCTTGGTGGACGTAGATGGCCACTGCGTCTCCACGGAGCAGAGGATGGGGTCGAACCTCCGACTGTGGACAGTCGCCCAGTGCTTTAGCCAGTGTGGGACCTCGGCGCTTAAAGGGCAGAAACGTCCCCGCCGGACACCGCTAAGCGGCTGCAGACCCTAACTGGGACTTTGGCGGCAGGTTACTCGCTGCATCAACAAGCTGGGCGCCCGCGGGGACCCCGGTGCCAGCATCCGGCCCGCCCAGCCCCGCCTCCACCCGTCCCGGCCGCACTCTTGGGGACAGCCGCGGGTGCGGCCACATGAGGCCAGCTGGGCGGGACACGCCAGCCCCGCGCCCCAGCCTCTGTCCCGGCCCCCGGATGGCTGGAGTGGCGGCCGGCGCCTGACTCGGGCGCACGGCTGGGGGCAGGTCGGGTAGGGGCGTCCACTGATGGGTCCGGGGCGGAGGACGCAGGGGGAGACCCCGTCCGCGGCGCAGAGGGGGCGGGCTGGGGGGTTCGGGGCCGTCCACTAGGAGACCGGGTCAGGGCCGTCAGGAAGGAGGCCGCAGAGGGCAGGGTCTCTCGAGGGGGCCGGGCCGCGCGGGCTCCTGACCGTGGTCCTGGTTGAAGCCGGCGTACAGCAGCCCGTTGCCGTGGGGGTTGCACGGGAGCAGGTTCATGGCGCCGCCGTCGGTCCGCTGCTTCTCAGCGCTGCATGCCGTTCCAGGGCCGCCGGTAAGGTCCGGTCGGGCCGGGGCCGGGGCCGTGGCCGGAAGTGCTGGGCGGACGTGCGTGCGCACCGCAGGCAGTCGCGGAGCACCGAGCGCGTCCACCAGGGCGGAGAGCGCCGAGCGCGTCCACCTGGGGGAGGGGCCAATGCGAGTCCGCTCTCCCAGATCCCGCGACACCCGAAACGCCGCGAGAGCGAGGGACCCTGGGAAGGGAAGGGGTGGGCCTTCCGGGGCCGGCGCTCCTCATTCGCTGGAGGGGTCGGAGACGGCCCGGGGGCTACTCCCTACGGGCACGGGGCGCCAGGCACCGACTCACGTTGGTGAAGACAGTCCTCCCCACGGGAACGCTCACTTCTTGGGTCTCATGTGCCACAGGACATAAAAATTTTTTCGCAGACACGGACACCCCTAGGACACAGGCGCCATGGACACACAGACACCCCTCTCCCTGGACAGAGATTACCCTGCGCGCATGCACACCTGGGACAGGATGACTTAGCTAACTCCTGGAGGCACCTTGAATCCTCAAGGGACCTCGGCGCGCCAGAGCGACCCTGCCCTTGGAAGTGGTCCCAGCAGGACCCTGGTCCGGAGAGGAGGCAGTGGACATTGTAGGGTTTCCTGTCTTTGTCCTGCAGAGCTGCTGGGGGCCTCAGACTGCACACCTCTTGGTCTCCACGTGCTGTAGCTCCTGCACCACCCAGCCCACTGCCATGGACTTGATTCTGACTCGTCCTATTGGAAGGAGACTGCCCATCTTCCTCCTACAGAGCTGCTAATGAACTAGCCACTGACCTTTTGGGTCGCGGGGCAACGTGAGAAGGCACTAGCGCTCCTCTCAGTTCGTGGCCGTGGAGCAGGAACCCACTCCTGGTAGATCTCCATAGTTTCTGAAGCTGCAAATCCTAACAGGAGAGACTGTCCTGTCGCTCTTGGGGCTGTTAGTGGATTCACATTACACAGAGAGGCGTAGAATTTGGTGAGGCCGTGCAACCCCTACTGACCATCTTGCTAAAGCTCCCTTTGTGCTGCTTCATTTGCTCTCTACCTTTCAGTCAAAAGCGACTCAGTCAACCTCCCATTGGGTTTCCTTGGCTGCATCTCACTGGGGAGGAGACAGCCGAGAGCACAGCCTCGGGATTAGTGGTGCACGTCCTTTAGAGCCCCTTCAAACTTAAAATGCATTTTCTTTCGAGTTGGAAGCGACCCCAGTGGGTTTTCAGAGGCTGTAAATCAGTAATACTGGGGTGCAGCTGGTGGATTCAACCCACCAGCCTTGGGGTTGACAGCATAACTTATACTGCCTAGGCCACCAAAGCTCTCCTTGCTCTCCTTTTGATTATTGTGTGTGCCACTGAATCTACCAGATTCTTGGTGACCCTGTGAGCAACTGCTCTGAGCCCTGTCCTAACCTGTGCCATCCCCACCATCTCGGTCACACTTGAGTTCGTTGTTAACACTGTGTCAATCCAGCTGATTGAGGGTCTTCCTCTTTTATACCACAATTCCACCTTTTCAAATATATTGTCCTTCTCCAGGGACTAGTGCCTTCTTACAACATGCCCCAAGTATGAGACAGTTTCACCATCCTTGCCTCCAAGGAGCACCCTAGTTTCACTTTCACCAGTACAGACTCCTTTTGCTCTCTTAGCAGTCCATAGGAATACTGTTCTCTAACACCACAACTTAAAGGTATCAATTATTCTTCCGTCATCCTTAGTCACTGTCCAACTGTCAGCAGACCATGGCTTGGATCAAATGTACCTTAGTCTTTTTTTTTTTTTTGGTACCTTAGTCTATAAACTGACATCTTTGCATTTGGTACTTTGAAAAGATCTTTGACAGCAAATTTCCGAAGCAACTTGTATTTTGATGCCTTGACTGCTGATACTAAGAGCATTAATTGATTGTGGATCCAGTAAGATGAAATAATTGACATCAATCTTTTCTCCATATTTCATGATGTTGCCTCTTGGCCCAGTGGTGAGGATTTTTGTTTTCTTGTTGAGATGTGATCCATCTTGAAGTCTGTAGTCCTTGACCTTCTGCAGCAAGTGCTTCAAGTCTTCTCAGGAAAGAAGTTTGTGTCATCTGCATAATGCAGGTCACTTTGTTGTTATGTGCTGTTGAGTCTCTTGTGACTCATAGCGACCCTATTCTCAGTAGCTTTGAATCCTATCCTGAGCCAGTGTCACAGTCTCCAACACAGTGCCCTATTACCCCAGTCACTGTGTCAGTCCGTCTCATCCAGGAACTTCTTCTGCATTATCCCTTCACTCTTACGAGCATGATGTACTTCTCTAAGGACTAGTCCCTCCTGGCAACGTGCCCAAAGTATGTTGGATGGAGCTTCAAAATTCTTGCCTCCAGACAGCAACTTGGTTTCACCCTCGCTAGGAGAGACCTGTTTGTTCTCTTGGAAGTCCGTGGTATATTCACTACTCTTCTCTATCACCACAGTTCAAAGGTATCAGTTCTTTTTTCTTTTTATTTTTATTCTTTTGTGTGTGTGTGTGTGTGTACCATCAAATCAGATCTGACCGGTACAGGAGGAGATTTCCCCTCCTTCTTGGGCAGAATATCTGGGGGACTCGAACCGCATATCTCTGGGATTGCAGTGCAGCTTCTCACCACTAGGCCACCAGAGCTCCCCTGGTATCAGTTCTTTTATTATCCTTAGTCATTGTCTATCTCCCTGATGCATAGCAAGTAATTATAAAGACCATGGCCTGGATCAGGCACACCTTAGTCTCATGACTGACATCTTTGCTCTTCAGCACTCTGGAGAGGTTCCTGACAGCAAACTTTCCCAATTCAATTTGTCTTTTGGTATCCTGGCTGCTGGTACCAAGAGTGTTGATTGTGGAGCCAAGCAAGCTGAAGCAGTTAACAATTTCAATCTTTTCACCATCTATCATGATCCTGCCAATTGGCCAAGTGGTAGGAATCTTTGTTTTCTTGATGTTGAGATTCAATCCATGTTTAAGGCTGCAGTCCTTGACCTTCTGCAGCAAAAGAATAAAATCTTCCTCAGTTTCAGCAAGCAAGGTTGTGTCATCTGCATAACGCAGGTTGTTGATGAGTCTTCCTCCAATCCTAATGTCATACTCTTCCTCATAGAACCTAGCCTTCCAGATGATCTATTCCTCATATAGATTGAAAAGGTATGGAGATAGGACACATCTCTGGCATCACCCTTCCTGATTTTGAACCATATAGTGTTTCCTTGCTCTGTTCTGATAACTGCCTCCTTGTCCAAGTATAGGTTTCACATAAGCATCATCAAGTGTTCTGGGATTCCCATTCTTCACAGAATTAGCCACTGTTTTTTTGTGATCCACACAGTCAAATGCCTTTGCATAGTCAATGAAACAGATAGACATTCTTCTGGTACTCTCTGCTTTCCGTCAAGATCTATCTGACAACATTAGCTATAATATCCCTAGTGCCATGGCCTCTTCTAAACCCAGCCTGCACATCTGGCAGTTTACCTTATTCTTTTCTTACCTTATCATCACATTGCTTATTGTCCAGCTATGAGGATTTTTATTTCATGTTCAGGAATGATACCTACTCAAGACTATAGTCTTAGATGGCTTATGTGAATCTTGCTGAACAGAGCACTAAGAATCTGACTACATATGTGGAAGTAAATGGTGGAGTAATTTCGATCATCAGTCAGAACAAGACCAATCAGAAAATCAATTGCAGTTCAAATTGGAACTAAAGACAATTTGAAAAAGTCTGTAAGATTAAAAATACAATCTTGAGCTCCTACTCTCCTTTACTGCCGGCAGTATGCTCTAAGGTCTTACACCCTTCTTTCCAGGAGTACCTCTCCATCTTCCTTTTCACTCTAACTCTGTTGCATGGCCCACCTTACACTAGCTATGCTTTCCTCTTATTGCCTTAATACACTGTTTCTGCTTGTTTTGATCTACCTATCTATCATTTATCTACCAAATCTTGAGTATAGCCTACATGAGATTAAAGGCCATCTCAAGAATATATTTAATGCATTAAACATTAATGACTAAATTATGGGATGACATCAAGGACATCGTACATAAAGAAAGTTAAAGCTATTTAAAAGACAGGGAAAAATCCTAAAGACCAAAATTCAGAGCAGACTCTGAAACCTACTGTAGGATATGTTATTGTTGTTGTTGTTGTGTGCTATCTCACTGGAACGGACCCACAGATAACCTAGTGGGTTTTCAGAGGCAACCACATGGGATGGAATTGCCCATCCTTCTCCCATGGAGTAGCTGGTGGATCCAAACCGTATGACTTTGGGATTGCAGCACAGCTTCTTGTCACTAGGCCACCAAAGCTTCCTTAAAACAATTGGGAAAAGTGGTGAAATAAGGGAGATGAAAGGAAGATTTCAAAGAAGTTCTCTAAAAGACAAAGCAAAGTGTTATAATTAAATGAGCAAAGATTTGGAGTTAGAAAACCTTAAGAGAAGAGCCCACTCAGCATTTTTCAAGCTGAAAGAATTGAAGAAAAAAAAATCAGACCTCAGGTTGCCAAACTGAAGAATCCATTGGGAAAATTATTGAATGACACATGAAGCATCAAAAGAAAATGGAAGGAATACAGAGTCACTCTACCAAAAAGAATCGATTGATTCAGAATCATTTCAGAAAGTAGCATATGATCAAGAACCAATGGTAATAAAGGAAGAAATCCAAGTTGCATTGAGTGCATCGGGGAAAATAAGGCCAAACCCAGGAATTGACAGGATATTAATTGAAATGTGTTTTTTAATTATTATTTTTTTTATTTTTTTAATTATTTTTTTTGTGTGTACCATCAAATCAGCTGTGACATTGATGTGTCAAATGTGTTAATGGTTGGTCACCCATGGTCTACAGTGTTTGGTGGAGCTCCCCGAGTAAAACAAGCTTGGAAGCAGGAGTGGCATCCACTTCCATAATAGCTTGCCT